ACACTTTTATTTCGTAGTAATCACAAAAGCTGTAATAGTAGTAACTAAACCCCATTTACCCTTTCTCCTCTATCCTTAGCATCTTTTTTTTTTTAATTTATTTTATGTGTATAGGTATTTTGTCTGCATGAATGTCTGTGTACCACATGTGTGCCCAAGAGAGTCAAAAGAGGGCATCAGATCTCCTGGAACTGGAATTACAGACAGTTGTGAGCCACCATGTGGGTGCTGGTACTCAGCCCAGGTCCTCTGCAAGAACAGCTAAGTGACCTTAACCACTGAGCCATCTCCCCAACCCCACTCTTTTGTTTTATTTTTGTTAGTCTGCTTGTTTTGGTTTTTGTTGTAGTTGTTGTTTGAGACAGGGTTTCTCTGTGTAACAGCTCTGGCTGTTCTGGAACTCGATCTGTAGACCAGGCTGGCCTCAAACACAGATCTGCCTGCCTCTGCATCTCAAGTGCTAGGATTAAAGGCAAGTGCCACCACTGCCCGACCCCAGCTCCACTCTAAACATAAAGTTATAAAACTTTAGTACACTTATCCAGACCATGAGCTAAACCTTGGAGTTGGAGGCAGGAGTATCCAGATTCCAAGGTCATCCTTGGCTACCCTGCAAATTCAAAGCCAGCTTGAGCTACATAAACCGTATCTCAAAAAATAAAATAAAAGCATTGGCATATTTACTATTAACTAAACTTCAGCCTTCATTTGGATCTCATATTTTCCCACCAATGTTCAGGATCTAATCCATAGTCCATGTTGCTGAAGACTAAACCCAGAGTTCTCTAGTGCTCTACCACGAAAGAAGGAGGGGGGAGGAGGAGGAGGAGGAGGAAGAAGAAGGAAGAAGAAGAAGGAGGAAGAAAGGAGAGGAAGGAAAAAGGAAGAAGGAGGAACAAAGGAGGAAGAAGGAAGAAGGAGGAGGAGGAGGAGGAAGAAGAAATCCTTGAATTTGAGTCTCTGTGATGTTCTCTTTATGCTTAGACTGAAATTAGGTGTGTATGATGTGGTTGGAATGGAGAATACACAGCAGTGGCATGCTCTCCCTATTCTAGCATACCAAGAGGGATCTGTTATCAGTATGTCCTGCTAGCTAGTCTCAAATACTTTGTAGGGGAGTGCATGCCACATTTCTCTACTGGAAGTTATTTTCTTTTGTTCATACTTTGCTTCTAGAAGTGGCCAATCTATAAATCTAACTCCTATCGGAGGTATGGGGCCGGTGTGATTAAGTCCCATCTCCTGGAGGAATACTGTAACACAACACATATTTGAAATTCTTGAGTAAGAAAGACTTGTCTCCCTCTCCCCACATTCTATTTGTTCACTTACATTTACTGGTATAGATGCGTGTATATTTCTTTTGTACTTTGTGTTACGGCTCAATACTGTTGCCATTCATTTTGTTGCTCAAATTTTCCAGCTTTTGCTGTGAGACCCCTGGCTTTGTTAGTGGCAGCTGCAGTCTAGACCAGTGTTTCCAGGTTCGTGGCCTCTTATTCACCAGACTGAAATAAGGGGCTCACACAGATTTGCAAAGAAACACAAACTTTATTCAAGGCAAACTGATGGGACAGATTAGAAAGGAATATACAGTCAGGATTGACAATAAGCCACAGAAATGAAGGTCCTCAAAGGCTCCAGTCACTGTTTGGGACTTCTTTTATAGGGTTCAAGAGAAGGGGGAGTTCGGTTGCTTAGGGGGATAGTTTGGATGGCTCTACTCTGATTGACAGATTAAGTTATGTAACTATTTCTCTAGTGTGCATGCCCCATCCCATAATACATTTGATTTTAATCATATCCAAGCCCAATTATAAATATGTGTAGGATGGCAAATAGATTTCCCTAGAAGTTCACTTTGAAGACAAAGTTTACCTTATTGTGCATCTACCCTAAACCAGTTCAGGCATATGTACTGAGAATACTTTTGAATAGACTCTGTCTATGTTTGATGATTGTTAAGGGGAGGAGAAACTTATTCTATAGTTCAGAGAGGGTGTGCATGCATCTCAGGGCAGGATAGGTGCATTATTTGGAGAGGAGCTGACACTTGTATTGTATGTGTGGGTAAATGTCTCAGATTTCAAGCACATTGTTAGCAGAGGGGTGTGTGTATAGCCCAAACCAAGTGGAGTCCCAGGTTGCTAAACTACCAACTATGCTTGCCTGCTTCATTCAGCAGTCTGGGGAACTCTGGGTTCTGAGAAGAAGGGTGAGGTACGAATTATACATCATTAAAAAATTAGAGCCAGTTAATTAATTAAAAAGAAGCATTGAATTTCTCATGACATCCCCCAATACCCTCCCCACCACACACACACACACACACAGTGGTTATTTCTTCCAAGGCTATCTTGTGGTTAACTGCTGGCCTGAGCTGCCTCCTGGGTCTGGAATGGCACTTCCCACTTCAGGTGTCAGGCCGCAAGGGCCATGCCCAGTCCTAGTCCTTGCTCCCAGAGCTTCATTTTCCTCCCAGCAGTAAAAGAGGAAGGACAACATCTGCCATGTTGTCAGTTCATCAATTCACAGAAACATGAACGGACATCAAAGGAAAGTGGTCCTGGAACAGTGGGAGTCAGCAATGCCACACACGACACTTTGGGAGATGTTGTTTACTGTATCGGCTGCCTCAAGGTGGGACAAAAAAATAAAGAGCTGAGTTTGGTGCTTTGGAATGGGGGAAGGCTGCCAACGAAGTTCACTCTCCCGTTAGGAGAGGTGACGGACGCCAATGAAATGCTCCAAGAAATTCCGGGGCTTGTCCAAAGATCTTGTCCTGAAGATGATTGGCTAGTAAAGATGAGTGACCCTTTAGAGTTGGATGAATTAACAGTGAAGAGGCATATGAGAAATATGTGAAGTCCATGAGGAGTGAACATGGCACCTTCTACTTCCATCCCCAAATAAAAGTGGGAAGTAACCTGCGATAGCATGGGTGTCTTAAATTAGAGAAGTCCTGAAATAACTTTTAGCAATACCAATGGATAAGATACTATTCTCAACAGTGCTACTGAAGAAAGTCCCCAACTCCCCAGTGGATGCAGATAAACATAATGTACATATTTTTGTAAGACCCTAGACTAGAGGCTAAGTCCTGGTGTGTAGAATTCATGAGATTATCTATGGTTAAAAGTTATGAGGTAGGCTGGAGAGATGGCTCAGTGGTTAAGAGCACTGGCTGCTCTTCCAGAGGTCCTGAGTTCAACTCCCAGCAACCACATGGAAGCTCACAACCATCTGTAGTGGGATCCGATGCCCACTTCTGAAATAAAGGTGTACTCATATACATAAAATAAATAAATTTTTAAAAATGCCAGGCAGTCGTGTCGCACTCCTTTAATCCCGGCATTAGGGAGGCAGAGGCAGGGGGATCTCTGTGAGTTCAAGGCCAGCCTGTGCTACAGACTGAGTTCCAGGAAAGGCGCAAAGCTACACAGAGAAACCCTATCTTGAAAAACGGAGAAAAAAAAAAAAGGTATGAGGCTGGGTTTGATGAGGAACCATCCTTTAATCCCAACATTCCAACAGTCTGATCTCTGTTACTTTGAGGCTAGCCTTGTCTACATAGCAAATTCCAGGCCAGCAAGAGTTATGTGGTGAGACCCTACCAAAAAAATGGTGACTTATTTCAGGATAACAATGTTGTCACATATAATATTATAACTCACCCAGATCTATCCCTGAATCTTTTTTGTTTTACTGTTTTGTCGAGACAGGGTTTCTCATCTGAGACAGCGATGTCCTCAAACTCACTCTGTAGACCAGCCTGGCTTCGAACTCACAAGAGATCTGCCTGCCTCTGCCTTCCAAGTGCTGAGATGCGTGTGCCACCACCGCCTAGCTATTCTTGGATCTTGGTCAAAAGACTTAATGTTTCTTCTCGTTAGAAATGCCTGGGAGCACAGGGAAGTGTTGTACAATGTCAGATGAAGGACAGTACTGTCTTCATTTCACCTTGAGCTGCATTGGCTGCTGTTGTTTTTCCACAGTGAATCTTTGCAGCTTCGTGAAAAACAAACAAAACATTCATCCGAGAGAGAGAGAGAGAGAGAGAGAGAGAGAGAGAGAGAGAGAGAAAGAGAGAGAGAGAGAGAGAGAGAGAGAGAGAGAGAGAGAGAGAGAGAGAGAGAGAGAGAGAGAGCCAGCAAACTCTGCTCAGCGGCTGCCACACTGTCAGGAGGATATATTTCTTTCCCTTTTCCCAGTTCACCAAAGTGTCTGGGTTCTCCAGACTGGCCTGCAGAACTTTCCAGGTCCTTGACCCCTGCCAGGTTTACGTGGTGGCCTCCCGCTTCTTAAAGAAATGGTTTCTCTTATGCGTGTATGTGTTTGCCGGCAGGTGTGGATGTACCACTTGCACGCCTGGTGCCTACAAGTCCAGAGGAGGACAACCGATCGTCTGGAGTGACAGGTGGTGCTGAGCCACCTGATGTGGGTGCCGCGAACAGAACTTTGTCCTCGGTTGAGCCATCTCTCCAGGCGCCCCGCCACTGCCCCCTTTGAGATAGGGAACACTCTTAGAGGAGGCTAGTTTGGAACTCACAGTGCAGCTCAGGCTGGCCTCGAAACTGCAGCGATCCCTCTGCCTCAGTCTCCTCAGTGCTGCGAGGACACTTGCGGCTCGGTTTTCATGCACTTTCAGTCATCCGAAGGATAGCTAACGCTGAGGCGGCTAGAGCCTGGGGCTCATGGGCTCCACTTACGGGGTCAGGAACCTCTAGGGCCTACGCCTGTCTGCTTGGAGAAAAGCTCCTGCGTGTTCACCTCCAAGGACTTGCTTCTGCCTCAGACAGTCGAGTGTTTGCACGCAGAACCTGATTCCATCCTCGGTCTCCCTTAGAGACACCCCCTAGTCACCAGGACCGAGGCCAACCCAACCCCATGGACCCCCACAGCCCCAACAAGGCCAGCGCGATCATATCCTCTGCGCATGCTCACACCCGTCTCTGATTGGTCGCTTAGGAGCGTGGGGATGTTTTCCCAGGATGCTCTGCGCTGCTGTCATGTCTGCCCCCGTGTGCCTGTCTCCTCACAGGGGACGCTAGTCCTGTGGGTGTCTGGACGGTACCCGTGGCCACCAGACGCCGGCGACTTTGGTCCCTGCTCCTTTCGCTTCCTCCTCCCCCGTGGGACCCTCGCGGGACCCCGAATTGGGTCCAGTGATGCCGGGGGTGACGTGGACTCCGGAGCGGGCGCTTCTGAGGGGTTTCTCCACGGAGGCCGAGCGACTGTTGTGCAAGCAGGAGGGGCGCCTTGGCTCAGGTGGGAGAGCTGTGAGGACAGGGATGCCAGCCCGGGGTACAGAGGAGGGGCGAGCAGGGGGCAAGTTTTGTTCGATGGTCTGAGATCTGGTGCTCTGGGAAAGTTCCCGAGAGACAGACTTGAGCTGATTTTCTTCATTCAGGACTGACATGTAAAAGAGAATTCGTCAGGGGGAAAAAAAATCGCGGTTGTAACAGTATTGAGGCAGGCATGAGCTGGGGAATATGAGGGAATCACGAGAGCACCTGTGTGTTTGGATGGGCCTCCTGGGAGAGAATATTGAAGGTAGGACCTCGGCAAAGGAAACTTCTGTGTCGGTTGGAATCTTTGTGAATTTCCCGAAGAAGGGTACTACGCCTATTGTTGTTGTTGTTATTATTACTATTACTATTATTATTATTATTATTATTATTTCTGTGTGACCTCCACTTTGCTGCTCATAGTCATTGTAGGTGTCCTGTAATTCTAGGAGGGGTGGTGTTGGTAGAGTGAGAAGGATTTGCTCAAGACTTAGTGATTCCTGTATAGCCAGCATTCTGTTTATACCGTTTTGTATATTAAAATATCTATGTAATGGATTGTCATTTACACTTAAATTCTGTTGGCTTGCTAGCCTGACTTTATATATATATATTACAGACATTGGAGTTTTCTTAGACTTGCTGTTGGAAGGGAGCTATGAAGCCATGTTCTTACATTCATTGACACGAAATATATTCAACTCCACAATGATGACTGGAGAAAAGATTGACAGCTACCTGGAGAAGCAGATAGTAAATTTCCTGGATTGCTCTACGGATTTGGAAGACTTTGGAAGGTAGAATTTTGTTTGAAATTTCCACAGAGAAACATACTTGTGCAGAGGGCTGGAGAGGTGGTTCAGTGATTAAGAGCACTTACTGCTGTTTCAGAGGACTCAGGTCCATTTCCCAGCACCTGCATGGTGGCTCACAACTGTGCAACTCCAATTCCAGGGGATCCAACATCCTCTTCTGACACCCATGGGTACCAGGCGCATATGTAGTGCGCATGTATACGCCCAGGCATTTTAGATTTAAGTTAAATTAGATTTACATCTATGTTAACATTTTTTAAAAGATTATCTATTTTTTTTTAAAGAAAGTGTTTTTTTTTTTAAAGATTTATTTATTTATTGTGTATATAGTATTCTGTCTGCATATATACCTGCAGGCCAGAAGAGGGTGCCAGATCTCATTACAGATGATTGTGAGCCACCATGTGGTTGCTGGGATTGAACTCAGGACCTCCGGAAGAACAGTCAGTGCTCTTAACTGCTGAGCCATCTCTCCAGCCCCAAGATTATCTATTTTTATTTTGTATGTATGGGTGTATTTTGCCTATACCAGTGTGTTCCATGTGCATGCAGTGCATGTGGAGGCCAGAAGAGGGCAGCAGATCACCTGGAAATGAGTTACAGACAGTTGTTAGCAGCCATGTGGGTGCTGGGAATATAACCTGGGTTCTCTGGAAGGGCAGCCAGTGCTGAGCCATCTCTACAGCTCTAGATTAAATTCAATTTAAAAGCCACATGTGGCTAATGGATTTATTGGACATTGCAGATATAAACTGTACTATATTAGGATAGTTTCAACTATTACTTGATTTTTTTTTCCTTTTTGTTTTTTTGTTTTTCCAGCCAGGATTTCTCTGTGTAGCTCTAGCTGTCCTTGAACTAACTCTGTAAACCAGGCTAGCCTTGAACTCCGTAGGATCTGCCTGCCTCTGGCTCCTGAGGGCTGGGAATTAAAGGTGTGTGCCACCACTCCTGGCTAAAGGAAAACATTCAGTTGGGGCTGGCTTACAGTTCAGAGGTTTAGTCCATTATTGCCATGGCAGGAATGGCAGCATGCAGGCAGACATGGTGCTGGAGAGGTAGCTGAGAGGTCTACATCCTGATCCATAGACATCAGGAAGAGAGAGACACTGGGACTGGCTTGGGCTTCTGAAATGTCAAAGCCCCGCCCCCAGTGACACACTTCTTCCAACAAGGCCACACCTACTCCATCAAGGCCACACTTCCTAATAGTGCCATTCCCTATGAGCCTATGGGGGCCATAGAAAGAGAAGAAGCCAAAGTATGTATTTGCCAATTATAAGATCTTATATACACAATCTCCTAAAATTTACACAAAAGCTCTTAGAACTAATTTAATTCAGCAAAGTAACAGTACAAATCTGTCTTAGGGTTTCTATTGCTGTGATGAAATACCATGACCAAAAAGCAAGTTGGTAGGAAAAGGACTTATTAGGCTTTCACTTCAGCATTGCTATTGATCATTGAATGAAGTCAGGACAGGAATTCAAACATGGCGGGAGTCTGGAGGCAGGAGCTGATGCAGAGGCCATGGAGGGGTGCTGCTTACTGACTTGTTTCCCATGGTTTGCTCAACCTGTTTTCTTATAGAACCCAGGACCAGCAGCCCAGGGATGGCAGCACTCATCATGGGCTAGGCCCTCCCCCATTGATCACTAAATGAGAAAATGCCTTACAGCTGGATCTCATGGAGCTTTTCCTCAGCTGAGACTCCTTCCTCTGATGACTCTAGTTTGTGGCAAGTTGACACAGAACCATTCAGTACAAAGTCAGTTATGTCTCAGATACTAACAATATCCAGTTGTCCTGGTTAGTTTTTTGTCAATTTGTTAGGAGCTAGAGTCATTTGGAAGAGGAAACACAATTGAGAAAATACCCACAAAGATTGGCCTGTAGGTAAGCCTTAGTGCCACTCATAGGCTGTTGGTCCTGGATATAGTAAGGAAACAGGCAGAGCAATCCTTGAGGAGCAAGCCAATAAGCAGCACTCCTCTGTGGTCTCTGGTTCAGGTTTTTCCTCCAGGTTCCTGCATTAAGTTCTTGCCCTGACTCCTTTTTGTGATGGATTGATCAGGACATACAAGCTAACATAAACCTCCTCTCCCCAAGTTGCTTTTGGTTGTTGGGTTTTCTCGCAGCAAGAGAAGCCCTAACTGAGACACCAATCTAAGAAAGAAATTGTGCAATCAATTCCATTTATAGTCTATTCAAAGAGGAAAATATTTAGTAAATATTTAGCCAAAAAAGGCTTGTGTGATGAGAACTATACTTAGAATTAGCAGATGGACTCAGTCAAAATGATTCTGGTTTTGTTTAACATCCAGAGCATCAGAATCAGGAGCCAGCCTCACACACACCTTCCTCTCTCCATCAGGACTGACGTTGACGTCATCAGTGTCATAGAGTTTCTTCACAGCCTGCTTGCTCTGGTGCCTGTTGGACTTGCAATCTCATCGAACACACCTGACTTGTCGTCTGTCTCTTCAGGGCTGACTCAGTGGTCAGGGGACACGTGATGATAGCACACTGGTCAGCTTTGTTGCTCCTGGAAATGCTCTTGAGAAGGGTTTTTTTTGTTTTGGTTATTTTTTTTTTCTTTTCTTTTTTTTCGAGACAGGGTTTCTCTGTGTAGCTTTGCGCCTCTCCTGGAACTCACCTAGTAGCCCAGGCTGGCCTCAAACTCACAGAGATCCGCCTGGCTCTGCCTTCCGAGTGCTGGGATTAAAGGCGTGCGCCACCACCGCCCGGCTCTTGAGAAGGTTTTGAGCTACTTCAAGAGCCTCGAGGTCTTGGGCTGGGAGGTGGGCGACTTAGGATCTTCTTTCATGCTTGGTTGTGGACGCCCCTCAGCACTCACTGCCTTCTCTGTTTTCAGAGCCTTTGCTTGGGCTTTGGCCGTGGGAGGGCAGGAGCCCTTCTTCACTTTCAGCACCCTCTTGGCAAAAGCTGGAATGTGATTTCGATTCATTTAGATAATTTTATTTTATTTCTCTGTCCCATGTTTATCACCATAAGCTACATCATTGTCATTTTTAAAGTCTCTTAAGCATCAGGCTTCAAATGTTTATTTAGATTGTCTAATGATGCACCAAATGAACCCCAAATGGACTAAATATACGCCAAGTATTTTGAGTCCCAGAAAACAAGGAACGGGACAGAATGCTTAGAAAGTTCTGCTATAGGAATGAAGGGGAACTGAGTGTAGAATTCACGAGCACATTCAAGTAAGGATGAGAATGTAGTTCATAATAGTCACACATTTTAAAATCCTTGTTTTAAGAATAGAATATTCAATATGTACCAAGTTGTTACCCAGACATTAAGTCCACAAACTGAAGTTCTGCATCCATCCATAAGCCAAAATAAGTTCAGATGGACAAAATATTTAAATTGGAATTCTAAACAGAATGATACTGTAGGTAAGTGTAGACTTGGGGATTAGGCAGCCTGAGTTCGTCCTGCCTCTCTTTGACTCACTAGCCATGTGACCTTGGGCAGGTTAGTTAACTACTTCCTGCCTCAGTTCATAAGAAAAAGGAGACCGGGGGAAAAAAATAAGAAAAGGAACCGGGAGGCACTGGGGATGCCGAAGGAAGGTAACTAATTACAATCTGTCGAGGAACTGAGTCCGAGGACATGGGGAACAGGCAAAACTAAAAATGGGAGATAAAGGGGGACAAGTGGCTCTGATATAAAAGGGTGGGGCCTACGATGGGCTCTGATAAAACCAACTCCGAGTTCGGGACTAAAGCAAGGGCCCTGGTGTTCTCGGCTCGACAGTTCTATCTCTAAAGTATAATGGTCACACCAAGAAACTCACGGCGGTGACTGCACCGAGTCTGGAAGACATCACTCCCCCTCCACGCCTAACAATTTCACCCAAGGGCTCCGGCCAGACCAACGCCACTTCCACTCTCCTCGCCTCTCCCGGATGTAGTCTCTGCGGCGACTAGCCCTGTTCTGAACATCTACTTCCGCCTAGCAGCTTCCTAGGGGGCTGCAGCAGGGAAAGTCACGTGAGGACTCCTCTCCCGATGCTTTTGGGACCCCGCCCTCATGGCGGCCAGAGGATTAGGGAGGCCATCAGGCCGGAGCAAGTGGGCGGAGTCTGAAGATTTAAGTGAGGGGTCCTCCTGAACCCCAACCCTTGAGTTCCGGCAGTTTGCACACCTAGTCCCACCCACCCCACAAGTGATCTTATGGATGCAAATAGAGTTCGATTATTGCCCCTTTATTGATCTTAAATTACAGACCCATTCTCACTCCCCTCCAGAGAGCTCTTTCATTGCTGAGGGTGCAGGCAGTGGCTGAGCAGAAAGGGCACCTAGGTGAAGATTTGCAGGCTATAATTAATAGAGGCAGGTCTCTCCTTATCTACTAACTTCATGTCTCCAAACTTGTCCAGCTTTTTGATTTTTTGGTGTGGTCCCTAGGAGTTTATAAGTCTTGAAGTCTTTATAGACAAGCTATGTCTGGGCTTCTCCTTACCCCTGAGCCTCTCCTTGGTACTGTGATGGGGTCCCTCGTTGTGACCTTGCCGGCTCCTCTCAGAATAACTGTGTCTGTTCTTAGAGGGACTGTAGTGAGTTCTCTCAGAATGACTGCGGTGGAGTCTGGAAGAAGACCTGTATAGCCTGGACTCTGAGGGAAGGTGGTGGACTCTCCCAGAAGAATTACGCCTTTTCCTGCCAGAGGGACCCCTGAAAGGGGTTCTCTCAGAGAGACTACCATGGCTCCTTTCTGAAGGACTGCACCGTGTCCTCTGGATGGGACTGAGATGGCACCTTTTTGAGGGACGGTGGCTTCTCTCTCTCTCTCTCTCTCTCTCTCTCTCTCGTCCTCTTCTCTCTCGAGGACTAAGAGACCTCCTAGAGGGACTCCTAGGGCGTCTCCCAGGACTGGGTCGGCTCCTCCCTGAGGGACTGCGACCTATCCCCTTAAAGAGACTGTAATGGCTCCAGGAGGGATACTTTGAAGGGTTC